CGCACGTCGTCTGTCACGTATTAAGTTTTTTATGTCATCGGGGAGGGTGCCCCGGGGGTTTGTCAGTCGGGGGACAATAGTCTCCGTCGTAGTCTGAGTCAGGGCGTTTTTAATGTCAGTCTCAAGGGAGAGGATTGCCGCCTCCAGATCATGGGTGGTTTCGATGACTGGGAGCGCCATGTTTCCTTGCATTACTGTTCGGAAACGCTCCCAGTCAGTGAACCTCCTCGTGAAGGTGCCTTCATATCTCTGTCTTCGCCCCAGATCCAGAAATATTGGATTGTGGGCGGAAGACCCTTCGTATTGGGTGGATATTTGGGCATTTAACGGTATAGATTTTAAGAGGGCAATGTCGATAACGTCGGGGCGTCCTACGGGTCCGTAATGTGTCGGTTCTGTCGGTCCGAGTATCGTCAAGTCGTCGTGTCTGTCTTGGTAATTCAGCAGGACGCGACCTCTTGTGGTCGTCGTCCCGCTGTGCCATATGGGGGACTACTCGTTGAAGTCCCCGATGGGCCTGGTCTGGGGTCAGGAAAGGATTTTGTCTAAGTCATTGTCAAGTAGTGGTAGTCTGGGTGGGTGGTAACAGGACACCACCGCAACGTCTCCATGCTGTAGCGATCTCACCGCTATCGCCACGGCCAAACTGTGAACCGTATATTTAAGCTGTGAATTCTGTAAACTGTTTGGATTTGAAAGGCTCTATTAAAATGCCTAGATTCTAAGGACTTTAGCCTTTAGCTTATTGCTGCCATCTGTTGAGTAGTAGTTAAATTACAAGTATCAAGTTCAAAGTGAGCTCAAATTTTTCCCATGTTGCAGCTACTAGATTATTACGACCATAGTTGTACTTGTATGTATTATATGTTCTGTGGTTGTATTCTTATCCTTACTTGAGAACAACAAGCAGTTACTCTATTTCTCAGGGTTGTCCACATACGACTAGAAAAGGGTTGTCCCCAGACTCACAGAACAAACTCAAACCCAAATGGTTTTAAACTTCAAATGTATAAAAATTATAAATAACGGTTTTTGTTACTAGATGTAGGCTATTTTGGGCTACTTTCAATTTTGGTTTGGCTACTAACTTAAAAGAAAATCTGGCAACCCTGCTGGTTAGGCAGAAATCAGAAAGCAGAAAGAAAAAGAGGTTATGCGTATGTGTGCGAAAAAAAGAATCGTTTAAGATTTGTTTTTATGGAAAAATAGTTTTAGAGAAAAACATAGCGTGCCTTCCTGAAACAGCCACCCGGATAGAGCTCCCTACAAATGAAACACTCTTTTTTCATAAGTGAAATTTTATATACAGGATGCTATATCACCACAATATCACCATTTTCTATCCAATTTTAAAAAATCAAAGAAAAGCTTTAATATGGCTCTAAAAATACTACAAACTGGTACATACTGTAATTGTTTTCCAAAGCCTATGTTAATAGCAGGTTAATGTTAATAATTTTAAGTGGAATATATATTTTTTTATTCAATTGTTGCCTCAATTTAGGCCGATCGCAAACACAGCCACGTGTGGTCGCCACTAGTGGCTGTTAGACCGATCGCAAACACAGCCAGGTGTGGTTGCCACAAGTAGCTAGAAGCAACTACTAGTATTATTTGTATCGCCACTTTTATAAATTGGTACAACCCTCCCAGTTTTCAGAGTCTGGAAATGCACCACACATGGATAAGTTAATGAGATACGTAATTGGATCTATAATACAATCAATAACTCTTTTTATTACAAAAGCTGGTAAATCATCAGAACCTGATAATTTTTTGTTTTCTAATTTTCTTTTCAGTAGTCAGAATTTCAGCCGGAGTAAATGGATGTAAATATATACTACAACGATTTTTTGTATAAATATTAATATTCAAATTGTCTGCCCTATTAGGTATATGGTCAACTACTCTCTGAGGGGCGCTTATAAAAAAGTCATTGAACAATGAAACCACAATCCCAGGTTCAATATAAGAAATTCCATCCACAGTTAACTGGGTACTATTATGTTTTATTTTTATTACTTAATTCTGACATTACTTTCCATGCAGACCGCGTCTGTTTATCTGACAACATTATTTTATTCTGATAATAAACTTTTTTAGTTTGTTCAACCAACTGCTGGTGTTTAATTTTTTCTTTTTTATATGTAGGGATTAACCCGGGAAAATTCTTTCGTAGGTTGTAAATATTTGTTAACTTTACACTAGACAATCGAATCTTATCATCTACGCATTTTTTATCATATGCTGCGTTATAATATTTACGATACGGAAAATAAAAGTTAAAATAATACAAAAACACATTTAAAATAGGTAAATGCGGCATTAATATGTGTATAAATATAAAGTTCGTGCCAACTTTCACTGGAAATGGCTGTCATAAATTCTATTATATTTGTCTCACTGATGATACGTACACAAATTTTCACAATGAAGCTTTCAATTTACAAAAAAATCCCTTAATTCACAGTCCTAGAACTTATGAATTAGCCTTCCGAGGCAGACATTCAAAATAAAATATTAAAATTATAAAAAAAGTGGAACAGTATGGCCTTCACCACACCAAGCCGTAACTAATTTTTCTATAATTTTTTATTTTGGTCTTTTATTTAAATGGTGAAAACTCAAGGAAACACGAAAATATTTATATAAAATTTACTAATACTAACGACAATTATCTATTAAGCTCATTTTAAAAGAGCTGTAGATAATAAACCACTGAATAATTTACTTCCAAAGTTTCTTGATAGACATATTCTTTTCTGAATCTTTTTGCATAACTTTAGCGACTGCCATTTCAAAATCCTCTTGAGTGACGTGAACACGTCTTTCTCTTAAAGCGTACATCCCAGCTTCAGTACAGACTCCCTAAAAATAAAGTAAACTTTTTCATTTAAAAAGTTTACGATTTACTTACTGACAAAAAACAATTATAGCAACATATTTAGTATTTCATCTCAGTGCTGTCTCTGAAGCTTCATTCTTCATTACAATCATTCTGATTTTTTTTTTAATGGAAGGAAAATTAAGATGATAGTAATATTCAAGTATATTATTAACATTGTCTTGAAGTGTTAAAAAATATATATATTTTACGCGAAGCACAAAGGCTCCATCTATCGCGCTGACTTCCACTATGCCATTCAAATGGCTACTATGGTGGAAGCGACCTGCTAAAATTTGCCAGGTACTTTATTGCACGAATGCCACCTATAGAGGGCAAAACACAATGTAAATTGTCAGTGCCGCGAAAAACAACTACTCCGAGGGCTATTTGCCCCTACCGGCATTGAATTACATTCGCGACACCCAGTACAACAGCTAGGATTGTGCATCAGCTGGTCCCACCAGGCACAGACCGGTTTCGGACTTATTAGTCCTCATCAGTGTGTCATAGGTAGGACAACCGATGAACGATCCAGCTGTTAAAAGTCGTAAACTCCCGACAAGAGGTACATAGTACGCGAAGCACAAAGGCTCCATCTATCGCGCTGACTTCCACTATGCCATTCAAATGGCTNGGTAGGGGCAAATAGCCCTCGGAGTAGTTGTTTTTCGCGGCACTGACGATTTACATTGTGTTTCGCCCTCTATAGGCGACATTTGTGCAATAAAGTACCTGGCAAATTTTAGCAGGTCGCTTCCACCGTAGTAGCCATTTGAATGGCATAGTGGAAGTCAGCGCGATAGATGGAGCCTTTGTGCTTCACGTACTATGTACCTCTTGTCGGGAGTTTACGACCTTTAGCAGCTGGATCGTTCATCGGTTGTCCTACCTATGACACACTGATGAGGACTAATAAGTCCGAAACCGGTCTGTGCCTGGTGGGACCAGCTGATGAACGATCCTAGCTGTTGTACTGGGTGTCGCGAATGTAATTCAATGCCGGTAGGGGCAAATAGCTCTCGCAGTAGTTGTTTTTCGCGGCACTGACGATTTAATATATATATATTTATTAATAAACAGTACAAAATGGTGATGCTGTAGCCATTCTCGCAAGGCATATTGAATTTGAGGTGCTCTGACGGAAATTTGAATCAGGAAAAAAACTAAAAATTTTCTATCTACATGAGGTTAAAGAAATACGTAAGTGATTTTGAAAATATTAATTTTTTTTGTGATTGGATTTAACGAAAAAAAAAAGAGCGATCTTTTGTCAATAAATAATGTTAAAATCAACTCGTAGAAAATCTCGTACACACTTCTCTTCGGAAAGATATTTTAAAGATATGGGTTGAAAAAAAACGCCTTTAAAGTTTTGAGAGATACTTTTGTTTGAAGATGCTTCTAATTGGACACTAGCGATGTGTCGTTCATGAACGATCGAGTCATAATGACCGAATCTTCTAAAAGACCCGTGATTGACCCGTTCACGTTGTGTCATCCTATCGCTTATCGTTCATTTGAGCGCAAACTCAGTGCCTGAAGATATGAACTGGAGAGCAGGTGTTGATACAGAATGAGCCACGAATTATCGACTCTATGATTGTATGATCTATTGGGTATCGTACTCTGTAAGTCGGTATTGCATGTTTGTGATCTGAATACTAGACACTGTACAGGGATATGCATAATTTAAAAATTATTATTTATACAATCAAATGATGGTACTGAATGGAAATTTTTAATGATAAGGTTCACATGATAATATTGCAAAAGTATGTACCAATACAATTTCTTTGAATTTTACCGACATAGTTTTAATAAATTTTAATAAAAACACTGTCATGTAAAGAAATATTTAATTAATAATAAGTTGCTACGCCTTTAAAAGACATCATTTTGGAACAAAATAAGTTGTTTTTTGTCTTATTACCAACACCGTAAAGTAAGAAAATTCCATAATCTACTTATTTTTTTTTTTTGACTTTTTTTAAATTTTAACCAACAGAGGAATACAACTGCGAAATTGCCTCAAGGACTGCTGTTATAAAACTAAACTACATAAAAATTGTTTTAAATTTGAGATGTATTATAGGTGCTTTTAAGGGCTCTTCGCAATGAGTATTATTTTATTGCATAAGCATTAAGCAAAACATTTTCTGACATGATTTACATTTATAAAAAGTGTCCAGAATTAAATAAGGTATTTGTTTCTTTTAAAAAATATAAATATATGGCCATAAATCTATCATATGTTGACAGGGCAGGTGCAGGTGTAGAAAGATATTAGCCGCCGCAAACCGTGACAAAAAGAAGGCATTCTATCGCGTAGGGACCGACCGATACCGAATGATACAGATTGGATTCGATACTATTTTGTTATCATTGATATGAATGGGTCTTCCCATCACTATTAGACACAAACTCCTAACTCTATCTGTTACCTTATTGGATAAGTTAGAAATTAAAAGGCGTCATTAAGCTGTACCCTTCCAACAGGTATCTGTGTCCAATACGGGAGAGCTCGGAAATTGAAACAAAAAAAAAATTTGTACAGGCATAAAACTTTTTCACCTTATTCTCGAAGGTTCAAAACATCAAATAAACAAAAAAAAATAGATTTTCTAAAAGTTATACAGTGGTTTTTACCCCTTAATTTGGTGTACTATTTGCAAGAAACGAAAATAAAAAAATTGCAAATACATAATGGAAAACAGCTTACCTTAACCTCGGCCCCACTAGCACCAGGCATTAATTCTGCAATTTTTCTTAGATTAATACCTCTAGTAAGATTCATCTTTCTGGAGTGAATTTTAAGGATATCTAATCTAGCTTCCTCGTTCGGTGGTGGAAACTCAATTTTTCTATCTATTCTACCTGGTCGAAGTAGAGCAGGATCAAGAATATCTATACGATTTGTTGCCATGATGACTTTAATGTTCTTTGTTGCCTCGAAACCATCTAACTGATTAAGCAACTCCAACATGGTTCTTTGTACTTCGGAATCACCTCCGGAACCTATAAAGTTTGATATCATTTTGCTGTTTAAGAATACATGTCACAAATGCATTTTATAAGGATCGAACTCATTGTAACGAGATATTCCTGAAGTCAAAATAGATAGTTTTAAGCCAAATATCCCTCGATCCTTTTCAAATTACAGGATGTTTAAAAAATACAATTTTAACAATATTTCAAAAACCATTTTTCCAATCTCACTGAATATTCAGTAACTAGATAATTACAAAAACAGTGTTCATTTTGTGCGCACTGATAGAGAGTAATAACAGAGCAAATTACAAAAAATTTTGTTTAATTTTAAATAGTAATACTTATCAAATATGACCAAAATCAGTGACCATTCAAAAATGGTCATGGAATATTTAAAATGACCTATTTTTCTCTATATCAATAACTCCATTAAAATTATTATTTATAGTGGTCAATTTTTTTTCCTTAAATATGATCAAAGAAAACTTTTTGAACAGTTACATTAAAATTTTTCAAATAATAGACAAAGATACATGCAATGTAATTTAAAAAAAAAAAATAAATAATAAGAAGACGGTTATTACATTATCTTATAATACAGGGTGCGGCAAAACAGACAGTGCAGTTTTGAAGGAGCTGTACATCTCATGTGGTGGGGGTAAGAATCTGGGAGGGGTCTTATCGCCTCGGGTAGGTCGTGCCATTTTTAGTCATTACCATGGTTACCACTTCAATCTTAGGCGATGTGATCCTGTCCCTCACTGTAATTTAATCGTGAGTTGGGTGCGTTCATTGGAAGAGACTGATTCCACACTAAGACTTAGGGGTTTGGAAGAACCTAAACGGTAAGAACACCAGAAAATTTAAGGAGAGTAAGAGAATCTATCGAATGGTCAGCTACACGCTCTGCCAGGAAGCATGCAACTGCATTGCTGACCGCTCTCTAAGGAGGATTTTGCACAAAAATTTGTCATTCCACCCCTACAAGATTATGATTGTTCAAAAGTTGAATCCCCTAAACTATGAAAACCGCATAAATAGCTGTCAAGAAATGTAGAATCGGATCCATACGAGAACAACTCTTTTCAGTAGTGACGAGGCCCACTTCCATCTCTGTGGAGCGGTCAACAAGCAAAATTTTCTGTACTGGGAGGAAAATAACCCAAGAAAATTTCACGAGCGACCTCTTAACTCCCCAAAAGTGACCATGTGGTGTGATTGGACCTTATTTTTTTGAGGAGAATGAACAAACCGTGACAGTCAATACTCAACGTTATCTCTTCATGTTGGAAAATTTTTTGAAACCTCAATTGGAAGCATTGAGAGAGGAAACAGATCTGGGAGACATCTGGTTTCAACACGACAGGGCTACGGCCCATACTGTTCACGTTTCAATGGCGAAGCTGCGACAGATCTTCCCTGTACGCCTCGTTTCTCTGAGGGGTGACCTGCGGTGGCCCGCGTGCTCACCTGATTTGAGCATTTGCGACTTCTTCCTGTGGGGTTACCTAAAGGAAAAAGTTTTTAGACATCGGCCTCACACCTTGCAAGAACTGAAAGATCGAATTCGAGAGATCGCTACCACACCCGTCGAGATGTGCCAAAATACAGCCAAAAATTTCAGAAATCGCCATTATCAATGCATCGCTGCCAGAGGCCGCCATCTTTCTAATATAATTTTTAAGACTTGAGCCATAAAAAGGCATGATGTAACGAATAGAATAAAATAAACCCCATATTTCTAAGTTGCCTCGATTTTTTTTAATAACCCTTCAAAAATGCAATGTCTGTTTTGCCGCACTCATATAAACCGGTTTGGAAATGTGTATGGGTGTAGTTACAATTTTTGTTTGGGGTGGGCTGCAAGGTCTATGGAGGCCTCCAAAAAAAAAGCCTCTCGCATTTTGCGACTTGCTAATTTACCGTTATAAAATTTGGTTGACACCGATCCTTCTGGGTGTGCAGGGCTCACCCCAGAAGGATCGGTGTCCACCAAATCTTGCCTCCCCTAGCTACACACATGGAAATGTGTAATGAACATAACAAAAGACCAATTCACAGAAATTTAATTTTTTTAATTTGAAAATGACCAAAAATGACTGTTCACGTTCTGCGATAATTTATCAATTTTTAAGGGAACGGTCATTTAGCTATCACTAATTTCAAGCAAAACTGGTATGCCAGTCATACTGTCACTAGGGTGCTCATATTTGGCATTTTATCACCAGATTGGCTCTTGGTGTCAACTGACATTTTGATATTTAGAAGTGGGCGATGGGTTGTCTATGGTGTTTTTAGCCCAACTATTAATTTGTAAAATTACTTGAGCATCCTGGTTGCTACTTCTAATTTTTTGGTAGATCTACTGACACCATGTATACAGGGTGTAAGTTCGAGTGGTTGTCATATTTATACAGAGGCTTCCTTTGACCTTTAGAAACACATATCCATAGTTTAATTTTTCAAATTCAGTCGTAGAAACTTAAATTTTTTTTTCAATATCTTTTTAGTAATTTTCGTACCTCACCGCTGGACAAACTAGTGTAATCTCAAATAACGTCGCGCTTTAGTCGCCACTAGTGCACAATTCCACACCATTCGCTGCGAGTTACTTTTGTTGAGTGGGTGTTCACCACACAAACAGTACTTAACAAGGAACCTAGCAAAAAACTCAAGCACTAATCAATAATGATAAATGAAATACACAAAAGTAAATAGTCTATTGATGGCTTCCAGCAATGAAAAACATTCAAATTTAGTTAGATGTAGTCTCCAAATGCGGAATAACAACTAACTCCCTTCTCCCTTCGCTTCGTCACTGTTGATCCGTACTATCTCCCTCCACATGCACTGTAGCAGCATACACAAGTGCATTTTAAAAAATAATTATAATTCAACTATTTATTTGATTAATAAAAAAAAAAAGAATTTCAGATTTGTATTCAAGGGAACACGTACTATTACCCCTAAAAAACTGACCCCCACTTAAAGTTATACCTTGTATAACAACAACATAACACATTATTTTATAAGATTTTAAATATGAGGCAAATTCATTGAAGAACAAGAATAATTCAAAATTTTGCTATCCAATCAAAAGATAAGATTCTAAAAACAATTATTTTATTACTGAAATAATTCTGGGGTTGGTACTTATCTGTACATTTTAGGAGTATGACTGAAAGGTTCAACTTAGTATCATTATTTAACATAAAATTATATGAAATGTACTCAAAATTAGTCAATTTCATTACTTTTAATTTGAGTCGTTCATGGTCAAGAATAAGAAAATTTAGTTTACAATTGCTCCATCAGTAAGGCATAGGCGGGATTATTACAATGAGCTAAAAAAATTAAACTCAGAGTTAAACTTCAAGGGAATGTAATTTGTAAAATTTTTCGAGAGATGTTTGCCCCCTCAATGATTTGGACGAAATCCGGCCTATGCAGTAAGGTGTTACTAGCGGTCTTTACCAATGATCACAAACTGAATACTCTTAAACATCTTACCCAAAAAAATATATATATAGAACTACTGTGAAATAGTTCTTCCTTGTAAATCAATAAAAAAAATGGAGCAACAATTGATTAAGACATGTTTAACTCCCTATTTTGACCTCTGCAATCTTAAGCAGAGCCTTTAAATTGTTTAACCTTCCGATATTTAGGCATACATTTATCAAACTGTTAAATTAGCAATAAACTAGGGAATTAATAAGTAGGAAATAGAATTTTTATATTAAAAAAGTTAATAAAAATAATAGGTACCTACATTACTTTTATGTAATCTATATTATTACCTGATTCGATACGAGATGATCCTATAGAATCGATTTCATCCATAAATATAATAGAGGGCGCATGTTCCCTAGCCATGACAAATAGCTCGCGAACCATACGGGACCCTTCTCCTATAAATTTTTGTACCAACTCTGACCCAGATACTCTGATAAACGTACATTCAGTGTGGTGTGCAACAGCACGAGCCAATAATGTTTTTCCGGTTCCTGTAAAGAGTTAATTAAAAACAATATTTTAATTACTTCAGTGTAGTACCTGGCGGTCCATATAATAATACCCCTTTCGGCTGTGCAATCCCCAAAGCATCAAAAAGTTCTGGATGTTTTACTGGTAATTCGATTACCTCCTTAATTTCCTTGATTTGCTTATCTAAGCCACCTACCATTTCATAAGTTGAATCGGGAACCTTTTCAACCATCATGAGAGATACTAGAGGATCAACCTGTATTTAATAAAATTATATAAATATTACAAAAAGATATTCAATCAATATTGTTTGTACCTTATTTGGTAAGATTTTGTGCAAGGTATAACTTTCGTTTCTGAGGGCAACACGGCAATTAGGAGTAACATCATTGATGTCAATATTCTTATCAATATCCACAACAAACTTTCCTTCAGGATGTACCTTAACTAGAACCTTCTTCTTGTCCATTGGTTTGACCACCTCACCGACATAACTGCCTTGTTCCTGTAGCAACATTAGCTCCTCTCGTAACATTCGAACTATAGCAAACAAATTTTAAATTTAGTTAAATATGGTAATTTTACAATTCAATACAAATGGATATGAAACAAAACAAAATCAGTTGAATAAAAAAAACAGTTTATGTATCAAGATTGGTAGATATAATCCATAGTCGATAAATAATAATTACCTTTAGCATTAAGTTCATTTCTCTGGGCTTGTAAACGTCTCAAATTTTGACTCTTCTCAGCAACAATAAGTTGTAACTCTTCAATTTTTGTGATGTAGTATGAACGGAAGCCCTCTCCCTTGGGACCTCCATCTACATCCATCTAAAAGATATAATTTTAATATTACTAACATTAGTAACTAAACAAAACTTAACAAACTTGTATGTAAGGAACATATCCTTTCATCTTATCAGTGTCACTGTTTTTATGTTTTTTGGAAGACTTTTTCTTTGCAATACCAGAACAGCTAAATGCTGCTGTAGAATAATCATGTCCCATTTTATACAAAAATTTATGAAATTGACATTTAAATAACAAAAGAAATTAAAACTATTGCAATGTAAAATTAAAATATAAATTAAAATAATTAAAATAAGAATATTGACAATACCTTGTTTATTACGGTCATCGTTCAGAGGTAACAGAACTTTTTCCGGTAAACTTCTTTTTTTATTAAATTGATGAGGTTGCTTTTT